TTTTACAGAAAAGGAAACTAAGGTTCAGAGACGCTAACTGACTGGCCCAATATCACACAGCTACTAAAGAGCGCATGTCCTGCCCACATTCCAAGTCCAGCTACCTCTTACATAGCCCAGGCAGCTTTCCTTGACCCCTCCTCCTACCCCTAACCTATACCCAATGCTTCACAGAGCTTTATCTTTGAAATTAGGGGACAGGGCTTCCCTGGTGGGGTTGTCTCAACACAATGTAGCTGTTATATAAGTTCAATACCCGGTCAGGGAGCTGACCCACATGGTGCAGCAGACTTTAAAAAAAAGGATTTATTTGTTTATGCATACAAGAGTTGGGGTATAAGCCAGAGGTTCAGGGGGTAAAAGGATTCACCAGAGACAAGAGTAAGGGGCAGAACAGGTCGATTGACTGAAATACACTGCTGAGGGGAGCAGTAGGAGAGTAAAATAAATCTTTAAAAATCAAAAAGAGAAGTTAGGGGACAATCCAGAATCTGCCTCAAATAACTGAAAGAATAATAGCTAACGTGCAGCCGAGATGCTTTGCTATGCACACCGCATCATCTCGCTCCATCCTCACAACTCTCCTAGCTCCACCATCCCATGGACGAGGACACTGGTTACAGACAGGTTAGACCACCTGCCTGGTGAATAAAGGGACTTGAATCCAGTGTGGGCTGCCACCATGTTGCACCTTTGTGTCACCGTGGAACCCAGTCAGCATCTTGGTCATCACTGGGACCGAGAAGCACTGGATGAGTTAGCTGAGCCAGCCCTGAAGCTGTTTTTCCAGCTGCCACGCGTGCAGCCCCCACGGCCCTGTGAGTCCTGGCAGTCCCCTGAGCCTGCGATCCCCTGCTGCCCAGAGGGCTGGAGAGGAGCCTCTGCCACTGCTGTAGCTGGGGAGGACGGATGATGGTCTACGCACAAGGGCAGGCCCAAGGACATGAGGGCAGAAGAGACAAGTCAGCTGGAGAGCTGCTTTTGGGGGCCAGACTAGGGGGGCCTTCACGGGTGTCTGGACTGCACCTTCTTGGTGGCCTTCTTTCTCCTGTCTCTGTACCTTCTTGCAGTGGGAGCCTTTCTGAAAACTAAATTCTAATGGCATACCAGATGATGAAACAGGCCCTGAGGCCTCCCTAAAGAATCCAGTTTGAAAATCAGTGAAACAGGAATGGGACCTTAGAAGGTTCTTGGGGCAGGGAGGGCAAGGGAGGAGTAGGGTGCTGGGTCACGGCCCAGGAGCGGGGTCAGGAAACCCGAGCTGAGTGGCGGCAAGTGAAAGGTGGTACGGAGGCACCAGTGAAATTTCAGAGTGGCCAGGTGTGAAGCGCAAGGCGGGGTCAACCCGAGGACCTGGTGCCTGACAGGAGTCCCGGGGGCAGAGGGGCTGACGGCAGACCCACGCAGGGACCAGCACAGTGTGAGGGATGTGGTCCCGACCCGGGGCCCTGGGTCAGCCTGTGACACCATTTTTGCCGACACATGGAACCCTGATATGTTCGCATGTGCCCGGGGCTATGCAGCAAGGAGCAAGCAGCGAGTGTGGCAGGTGTGGCAGCACAGGTGGCAGGAGGGTCATGGCCGTGCCCATACTTGGTACCTGCGTGTTGTCCCTGCGTGTGCCTGTGCGAGGCGCCCGTGACCACCTGTGCAGAGTGTGCAGGGCACCCACGCGCAGCTCCCTCACTCACTTGGCAGCCAGCAGCATGCTCTTGCGGCTGTGCAGCCCCCCAGGGTCAGCGTGCCGTCGGCACAGGTACTCCGCAGCTGCCTTGGCGGGGAACTCAGTCTCACAGACGTAGCCAAAGTCTCGAGCCAGGTGCACGGCCTCTCCTGGCGGGAGAGAGCAGATGAGCTGCCACTACAGTCAGGTGTACCTTGGAGCCAACCTCGAGCCTTAGAGCCTCGGTGCCGGCCAGGGACACCCTGCCCCCCTCTCTATAGACACCTTCCTCTGGCTTCTCCCCTTAGGCTGGCTCAGGCCCCCTTCCCGGTGCCCTTCCCTGCAGCCACCAGGGATGGACTCTGAGCTCAGAGGCCCGGGGATCTGAGCCCACCATGAGCTGGAGAGTGGCCAACCTCCAGGAAAGGGGTTCACCCCTTCATGCTTTCCACAGCCAAATGCTGGCCATGCCCCAACACACACACACGGAGGCACTCTCTGCTCTGTGAACACACACGTGTAAGCACACGCAGACTATGCCTACATATGACACACAGCCCTGCCTGATCCATGGCATGCACACACGACAGACATGACTGACACCTATGACCGACTGCGGTGGAGACAGTGAGCCCCACTCACCCTCCACCAGAGAGGTCAGCAGGGTCACGTTGGCAGCCTTGCGGCGACCAGCTGGCAGGTTGAGCCCGATCTTCTCCAGGCGTTCCCGCAGGCACCGGCCCCCATTCTTGGACTTAGCCCTTGGCACACACAGAGAAAGACAGTTGGTGAAGACACGTGTAGGCTAAGTGGTCACCTCTGCTGAGGCTTGATCTGACTCTGGAGATGGTCGGGACTACTTTCAGCCTGATGCCAACCTCTTCTTAACCTTAACCTTGACTTTACGGCCACCATGAGTGCCGGATACCTAGCAGCTGTTTCCCCCTAATGCTCAACTGCAGGGGCAGCCCCGGGTGGGCAGGACAGCCAGTATCTTAGGGTCCTTTGTCTCATCTTAGCACACCAGCTAGGCCATATGCTGCTACCCAGGACACACAGACTTAGGCAGAGATGCACAGACACCAGGGGAGACGCACACAGGTGAAGACATCGAGGGCCAAGAGTAGAGCCACGCCTGTACCAACAGAGACAGACATGCCCCTCAGACACCTGGGGATACACAGGGAGGTAGTCAGAAACAAGTTCACACCAAGTCGGGATCTCAGGGATGTAAGTACAGATACTCGGGAACACTCACCAGCCCTCTGGAGTGCTCAGAGAGACCAGGAATACGGAGCTACCCCCCACACACAGAGGTACAGAAACGTTGATATTCCTGTGTCTAGTCCCAGGTGGATTCGCAGTCACACACAGCAGGACACTCTCTAGCCAACACATCCCGCTAAGATTAGTAACACACGACGCTCAGAGTTGTGGAAACACACACCTGGCCATCCCCACATCATGCACACATTTGTGCACTCACACACATGTACACACCATCTGCAGACTCATCAGAAGTCAGCCCTGGTGTAGAAATTCCCTATCCAGGCACAAGGACATGCGGAGAGAGACAGACACACAACTGTGAAGACAAACCATGCTCCCCACCCAGAAACACACACACCAAGGAGATCTCTGCTGCCACATGAAAGGGCCTTGGGTCCTGGGGGTACTTTCCCTGGGGGAGGAGGTGAAGATGGCACTCTCTCTTCCCCAGCCTTGTCCATCCTGCCCAAGAGGGGTGACCTTCCACCCCTTCCTTCTCCACCCTTCGCCCCAAGCCGACAGACCTATGGGAACTGCTGGGGACACAGGCCTGCCCCCAGAGCATGCATAAACCCCAGAGAGACTGAGGCAGAGACGACCTTGGGGTCTGGGATGAGGTCGCCCCCTTTCTGCTCCCCTGAGAAGGTCTGAAAGGACCATGGATTTTGGCCCAGACACTGCATGGCATCATGGGCTGACCTTCCTACCTGCGAAGGACGCCACCCAGGAGGGAGGCATTGAGGCACTCGGGAGGCGAGAGTCGCCGCTGGACCTCCCCCACCGTCACCTTGTACTTGGACGTTGAGCTGAGCAGTGAGAGCCGGCCTGGCACGGAGCAGAAGACCTCACTGGGGTTCGTGATGCCACCAACCAGGCTGTCTTTGGCCAGCGTGAGGGCCGAGAGGCTGCTGGCTTTGGAGGGGATGGGGACTGTGGAGCAGAAGCAAGAGCAAGGGAGAGAGAGACAACACTGAGCCAGGGGCCACAGGGCTCTAGCCAGCTACGGAGCGAGTGCATCGATGAGGCACCAACTGTGTGCTGCATGCTGTGCACATAGCCACATCTACACTCTCGGCCCCTTGAGGGAGATTCCACCTTCCCTGCTTTACAAAGGAAACTGAGACGCAGTGAGGTTAATCTGTCACCCATGTTCACTCAGCCAGTGGGTGACAGAAAGTGAGCGTAGACCTGTCTGGCTCTTGAGCCCGTGTGCCCTACACCAAGTCAGGCAAGCTGCCTGTTAAAGCTCAGACAGCTTTGGCCCTCCCTGGTGGCGCAGCGGGTTAGAGCGCAGCACTAAGAATCGAAAGCCACTTCCCCATGAGTTCAATTCCCACCTGCCCCAGAGGTGACCGCATTGGCACCGCAGACCTCTCCTGACCCGCCTGCTGCTCCCCTCAGCAGTGTACTTCATTGATCTGTCTGTTCTGTTCCCCACTCTCTCTGGTGAAGTCTCTCGCTGCCCCTGAGCCTCTGGCCTATACCCCAGTTCTGTATGCACAAATAAATAAATCTTAAAAAAAAAAAAAAAAACACCTCAGACAGCTTCAGAGTCTTGACGTCCTGACCTGTGCAATCAGAGAGGGATGGAAGCGGGGAAATGGAGTCTGGACTGCAGGCAGGTTTCTCATGATGCAGCAGGGACCAGCCTGGTCCACGCAGTGCCCATGACTTACCCTGCCCCCAACAGATCAGTGAGGGGCCAGAAGACTTTGAACTCCCACATCCCAGGGATGGGGAAGTTATGGCCCCATTAGACCACAGCCTGGTCCCCTCCTTGCCACGTGAAGCTAGATGCTCACCCCCAAGTCATCTCTAATTATCTACAATGTCTATGAGAAGCAGGAAAGCAAATCTGAGAAGCAAATTTTCTAAAACCCGCTAGGACACTCTTGACTATAAAAGGAAGTTCTTCCTGCAATCTAACCTCCGTCCTCCTGCTTAGCCTTGCGGGAAGGGCACCTCTTCTTTCAAGGAAGTAAGAGTCTTGGTAGAGAAGGCAAGTGTGTGGGGGTGGGGGAGGCATGAGATGGAGTGCGAGCCTGGGACCCACAATTACTGAGAACTCCGTGTGCTGCCAGTGCCAGGTCAACCCTGCAGACACCCATGGCGGGGACTATGTTATTCCCATTGCTCAGAAGAGGAGACAAAAGCCAGCCACACAGCAGGGAGAAGCAGGACCCACCGCAAGCCCTAGCCCTGGACAGGGCTCTAAGCTTTCCAGCCCTTTGGCCAGGGCTTGTCCAGCCCCTTCTTGCCCGGGTCTGTGAGCGTTGAGGCCTCAGGAATCAGAGGTGTGAGACTGGGCGCCTGACCTGGCAGAGAGCCCCTCTCAGGTGGCCCTCTCTGGACCATACCCCCACCATCATCCAGCAGACCCCTCAGTGAGGCCCTGTTCAGCCCTCTTCACCACAGCCCCCAGCACCTAGTCTGGTGCCCTGTCCCCACAGCTGCGAGCCCGGTGGTGTCTGAGAAGCAAGTCCTAGCTTCTGCTGCACAGCAGTGGTCACCTATCTCAGTAAGTACCCGCTGTACACCAGCGCTTCCCGCTAACAGCTCTGTGAAATAGATGCCCTTATCCATCCCCATCTCAGATGAAGAAATAAAAGTTTAAAGAGGTCACAGCAAGCAAAGAGTCAAAATGAGTCTTGACGTCTGGCCCCAAGGCGTCTGCAGCTCACTGCTTGACCCAGCACACCCCTCCCCCTGGGCCAGGGCCCTGCTCACCCCTCTGGTGGCCTCCACTTGTCCTCTAGACTAACCAAAAGACTCACATAGGAAACAAAATTTTGAGTAGTCCCATTTTTGAAAAGTAGAAAGAAATGTGAAATTAATTTTAATGTCTTTTATTTACCCTAATAAATCTATAGTATTATCATTGAGACATGGCATCAATATTTTCAAAATGACCCATGAGCTAATTACTCTCTTTTCCTGCACTTGGTCTTCAAAATTCAGCACATATTTTCCCTTTGTAGCCCATCTTAATTCAAACAAGACACATTTCAAAAGCTCAACAAGCTACACACAGCCAGATGATGGGCAGCCCAGTCCAGACTTCAAAGAGGGGGAACACAACAGATTACCCCAGAAAAGAAAGAGCCAGATAGGGGTGCCACAGCTCAGTAGGACCCACCAATGTTACCACAACTCCCCATTTGTTTTTTTTCCTATGGAGACCAGGATTTTGGATTTCTGTGTGAAAGGTCTTGGTTTTAAACACTAAACATGAGCAACTGATTCAAGCATTTAAAAGCCCAATGCAGGCCACGTGGGACATGGTGAAATACCACCAGGGATGTGGGGTCACCATGATGTGAGCTCACAGAGCCCCCCAGAACTGCTAACTGCCTGGGCAGGCCCTCTCCCTCTCAAGCCTCAGCTCAGGTATATCCCAGTGCAAGCCCCTTCACCCTGCTCCTCTCCCTTCCATCCCTCTTCACCACACTGAGCCATCAGCCTGCTTCCATATCTCTCCTCCCCACCAACTAGGAGTGCCTTGGAGGCAGAAGATTTGAGTAAGTGGGCATCAGTGAATGTGGAATAAATGGGTGAAGCAAGAATCCTTGAAACCTAAAATGTGAAAAAGGGTGATGGCCCACAGCCCAGGTTGGGGTGGCAGAAGTGTTGAGAACGTATCACTCCCTTGTTAGCAACTGCTGGCTAAGCTGCCCTTCCCCAAAGCCCCCAGTCAGGCATCATGAGTAGCATACACTCCCTACCCCAGGCAAGTTCTCTGTTTCCAGCAAAAGACCAAGACCAAAATTAGCATGAGGCAAGTGAGGTACTGACTTGGATGAAAAATGGTTGGAGCACAGCACTGTGAAGCTAGCGTCAGCTGCTTCAGTGCCAGTTCTACCCCTGACCAGGGAGCTGACCCACATGGCGGCAGACCTCTCCTGACCTGCCCGCAGCTCCCCTCAGCAGTGTAATTCGTTGATCTGCCTATTCTGCTCCCCACTCTGTTTCTGGTGAAACTTCTCACCCCCCTGCACCTCTGGCCTGTACCCCAGTTCTGTATGCATTAAAAAAAAAAGAAATATTATTCAAAAAAATTTAAGGAGGTGCCAAAAAACCCAAAAATCACAATAAACAATATTTTAATGCAATATTAAAAAAAACTAATGTAAAAAGTCCATGATGACAAAATAACAAAATTTTAATTAGAAACAGGTTTTGCTCCTGTTGTACAACCCTGCCTTACTTATTTTATTCTAAGCCTAGCCTTCTCCCAGAACGAGGATCACTCAGAGGAACAGAAATGTCTTCTTTCCTTCAGCAGCCTCCTCCATCCAACTTCTATTAAAACCTGGGGCCTCCTGAGGCCAGGTCCTGTGAGAGGAGAGAGAGGCCATGCTGTGTAGTGCTGTGGGTGTGCAAATAGGGGCATATGTGACACAAAATATCACAAAATGACTGTGCGCTCTCATAGACACGGCAGCGAGCGTAAGGCTGTGCAGGGTCACAGTCATCGCACACGGTGAATCCGCTCCACACAGTCTCTGGCCTTCTCTGTGGCAGGGACACGACAGCATGCATGTGAGTCTCTGTAAGTGTTTTGTTCCTGTTGATCTATTTAAACATAGGTGTACGCCAGATTAACATAAACATAGGTGTGGCTAAGTGCAGGTGCATGGGAAGTGCCTATGTATTTGTGTAAATGCACGATAGATCCTGATGTGTCCCCACTTGTCCCCTTTTTCTCAGATCCTCTTCTCTCAAAAAAAAAAAAAAAAAACAATGGCAAAACAAGGGCCTTCCCTGGTGGTGCAATGGATTAAGATACAGCTACTGCAGTAAGAGTTCACTCCCATCCAGGGAGGTGACCCGTATGACACAGCAGACCTCTTCTGACCTGCCCGCTGTTCCCCTCAGCAGTGACCTTCAGTCTTCCTGTTCTGTTCCCCACTCTGTCTCTGGTGAATCCTCTCACACCCTCCCCACAGCTCTGCCCTGAACCCAGCTGTTGTATGCATAAATAAGAAATCAGCTTGTCAGTTTCTTTAAAATTTAAATACCAACTTACCATCATGTCCAGCAATTCCACTCCTAGGCACAATACAAACACACATCCACACAGAGATGTGTACTGAAGGATCATAGCAACAGGACATAAGAGTAAAAAAGTGAAAACAACCCATGTCAGGCAACTATGAATGACATCCAAGCTACAGGCTACCACTCAGCAATGGAAAGAAAGGAGCCAATGGAACTGGCTTCACGTGGATAACCCTCAAAAACATCGAAGTAAAAGAAGCTAGATGCAAAAATCTGTGTATTTATACATTCGGTGTATTTATACATTCCATTTATATAACATGTCCAGAAAATGCAAATTTTAGGCAGAAAGCAGATTAGTGGTTGACTAAAATTTGGGATGGGAACGAAGAAAATTTTGAAGGCGGTAGAAATGTCTTAAAACAGATATGGTAATGTTTACACAATTCCAAATTTACTGAAAGTCATTGAATTACACTCTTATAATGCGTGAATTTCAGGAATGTAAATTTTGCTTCAATAAACCAGTTCTAAAAATGCAAACTTCCAGGGATTCTCATTCAGTACCTGTGGGTGGTGCCCTGGAAATCTGCATTTTTTTAAAAAAGGTTTATTTATTTATGCATACAAGAAATGGGGTACACGCCAGAGTTGGGGGTGTGTGGGGGGTTTGGTGAGAGGATTCACCAGAGACAGAGTGCTGCAGTGGCTGCCTGGCCAGCTTCACAGTGCTGCGCTTTAACCCGTTTTGCCACCAGGGAGGGCCCGAAATCTGCACTTTTAAGTACCCCAAGTGATACTTATATCACTTTTAGGGTACCTTTGGCCTAAAACCTTCAGAGAGGGACCCAGGAGGAAGGCAGCCTGCCCCCAATCTCTCCTAGTGGGACCTGCTGGCTGTTACCTTCTCACCAGCTGCCAGAGTTTCCTTTAAATGCGGCTTCTGCCCTTCTTTCCCCAAGCGGCTTCTGCCCTGTCCCCAGCTCCACAAGGCCCGCAGCACACTTTGTCTGCTCTGGGACTATTCCCGTAGCCACTTTCTGGGGCTGACAGAGGTCTGTGAGGCAGGGCTTTGGAATGCAGAGTCAGACTGTTTTTATGTAAAAATTTAATAGGTTGTTTATCAGGGATTTTTGCTTTTAAAATTTAAAAATATTGCTTTAATATATTATCCGACTTGATTAGGGGTTTTGGGACCTTCTTACATCTTGTGGCTGAGATGAGTACCTCACTCCCCTCACCTGGCCCTGCTTGGAAATATACTACCCAGTCCCTCCCCATATCCCTTTTCCTCTAGGGCCCCTGACGGCAAAGGAGACAAGGAGACCTGTGATTATCGCTGTCATTCCCCAGCCAGACCCTCTGAGATCCAATAACAGAGCCCAGCAGAGATGATTTCCCCCTCCTAAGCACCCACTTTCCTGGAGGACAACCTCAATCCTCACGTCCTCTCCAACTTGTGACTGTATAACCTGAAACCCACGCAGATTTATTTTGACTCGTTTTCCAACCTCGGACAGTGTGACCGGCCGGGACTCTTGTACGTGCTGTGCGGTGAAATAGCTCAGGCCCCGCACCCCCTCTTCCAGCGCCCTCTGACTTGAAAAGCCTTCCCTCAACAGATACCCTCCGCGGCGGCCCACAAGAGCTCTGTCCAAAAGACTCTTCTGGAAGACGTCCCACCTCTGGCGCTCTCTGCTTCTCCTCTGAGCGCCTACCCCGACCGTGCAAGAGACCCGCTAGGTCAGAATCCCTAGGCCAGGTCGCAGAACTGCGGGTGACAAATGCCGGTAGAAATGGAGGGCTCCCCGCTTTCCTCCGGGTGGGCCTGCGCCCAGCTGCCATCCCCTGACTCACCTGTGACCACAAAGGGCCGCGGGCCGGCAGGTATGTGAGGAGTCCCAGCTCTCATCCGCTCCAGGACTCGGGACTCGTGCAGAGAAGCTGAGATTTAACCACCTAAGTCTGCCCGGGGAGCGCTTCCAGGCTGCCCTCGCGAAAGCCTTTTTTGCCGTGGGGCCGGGCTGTCTCGGTTTTGCACCAGAACCCCCAACCGGCAGAAATTCACGAGCCCCTCCCGCCCGGGACGAGCGTTGCTGAAGGAATCAGAAGCCTCCGCTGGCTAAGAAGGATTTTCTGTAAGTCCAGGACCCCGCGAGAGTAGGGCGCCCCACCGCCCGCGTTGGGGGTCAGGGGTCTCTGGGACAGGAGAGCGGCTCCAGCTGCTGCCGAAGGGCCGGAGGACGAAGAAGGGCGCTAACCCTCAACGGCTAAGGGGTGGCTCCGTGGCCACAGTCCCGCAGGGACGGCAGAAAACTGCCTGCAGCGCGGGGCATGGAAGCTTCAGGGTGCGGGCTTCTGCCAGCCACCCGCTTAACTTAGGCACCCGCAGCTTGGTTCCTTGGGGAGCCCAGCACCCTCTTAGATCGGGACCTCAAGGCGCCAGCTCAGCTTTGGCGTCCGAAAACGCGGAGGTGACCCTCTCCTCCCAAAGGCCGCCGCACCCGCGGGAGGCTCAGCTCGCCGCTCGCGAACCAGACGCTTCCTTCGCAGGAAACCCGGGTTCTCACCCCGCACCTCTTGGCTGCAGCGCTCCGGGCTGTAACTCGACGTCCCGTGAGAGGGCTCGGAGCGCAGTTCCCAGCTCCGCGAGCAGGTGCTCCGCTTGGCCGCCGACGAGGTGACGCTGCGGTGGGGAGGGTGTGCGCGCCCGCGCCGCCGGGACGCCCCGCGCTGCACCAGCGCCACTTTCGCCCGGAACCAGCGCGCTGTAGCAGCCAGGCCTGCATTTATGTTCTTGGGGCAACCTTTCAGGATACCGTCGCACATCTAGGACCCGGTTGTGGAAGCTACAGTCCTTTGAGAGAAACCAACTCCGGGAAATTCCAGTCCCTCCTTCAGCCAGCCTCCCGACCTGGCTCTGACCTGGGCACTGGGGTTTCAGGGTCTCAGAGGCCCCCCCTTACTCCCAGCCGA